TCAATGTGGTTCCCAATGTGGTTCTCAATGTGGTCAGCTTGAGCTCGCCAAAGACACGGGGGTGTTGCTAGACCTTCTTGATTTTAAGGAGTGAAAATATCTCAGCATTTGGTTCACTTCTGTGAAGTAAGTAAATTGTTAGAACAAGGGTCAGGGACCAGAAAATACACCAATGTGTCAAGAAATAAGTCTATTACGTCTGTGTGATTGTTTAAATATATATATATACGGACAGAATTGTATAAAAAGTCCCCTAAACAGGAAATAATCTGCTTAAAATGAATCCAAATCACTCTTTTTACACAATCTTCTTGCAGTTACTGAGTTCATTGTTTGGGTTTGTTGTACAGTTTATTATGAATATCACTCAGTGTCACTGAGTCAGGGGTCCCTTAAGGAGAAAGGTTGGGAGCCACCGGTTTAACCTGTGATTGTTTACTCTGAAGACAGTTCAACGAATAAGAAATGGATGAAGGTTCAAGAAATGACAAATATAAAAAATACTCATGGTAGGTCAATATTTTAATTCAATATTTGACTCAACATCTAAAAAGGATGACTTATTAAAAGGTAAACTACTGCACCAAAAGTCCTAAACTTTTAAACTGTTATAATTGTAACTTACCGTGAGTATTTTTTATTTTCATCATTTCTGACTTTTCCATCTAGTTTTTTCTAAATGAGCTTCCACGTAAATCTGTCCACTGTGCACAGGTACATTTATTAACATCTGGTAAAGCATCTGGAGGGCACTGACCTCTGCAAAGACCGCAGAAAGACTGCAACTTCTTATAGCACCATGCAATGACAATTAGGTATGTATTGGGATAGTTTGATATTTTTTAGGTATATTTTTCTCCACATTGTCTTCAAGGGTTTGCTTTATTTGGTTGCAGAAGGTCAGGACTTTGGAGTGTTTAATCAAGGCGAGGTACTTCATGATGAACTGATTTTTATATCGTAGGCTACTATAAAGATAATACATGTTGTTATCTACTAGTTGAACTGGTTCAAAACTCTTGTAAAAGATAAATAAAGGTCATGTATCATTAATCAAAATTTGTCATTTGTTCTCTTTTATTACAATCATTGGGGTGAAATGGAGACACACATACAGGAGCTTTGCATAGAGTGGAATTCTGAAAACCGGAGCCGGGTCCTGTCAGAAGATGTACTAGGAAAGACGAGAGGTGCAACTGTATTCATTTGGATGTGAAGCAAGTAATAGATCTTACCAGTCTTCTGCAGCAGAAAAGCCTCGTTATGGAAAATGTGAATGTATATCCTAACGTGAAGCGTTGTTGCTCATGCCACGAATCTGCCCCTCAAGCAAACATGAGGTGATGCTCTGTAGGAATTTGGCAGAAGCCAGAAGTGGGACGTGTTTGTTGGACTGAAATAGAGAAAGCAGGCCTAATGGTTGACTTTGCAAGCCCCAAACCTTTGGTACATTCGGTGCAAAATATATATTTATACACACAACAGGACAGACATACATATACATTTATATACAAAGAGACAAACAGGACCGCACACATGATACACAAACATGTGCTCTCACGTTTCACAAAATCAAAACAGCCCTATTGATTCATCACTGATTCATGAGCAATGAACCATAACCTTCGACCTATTACTAAGATAGGCAGACACGCACATGTGAAAGTAACAACATTTTTGAAACATGCTGCCGAGATACTCGCCAATACACTGTCATAGAGAAAACAAACTATTGCATTCACACGTTGTCCATTCCCAGAGCTAAAACTAAGTGACTAAAGCACCTATTTCCTACACCCTGTTCCCATGAGCTTAACACTCAAGGTATGACAGTGCCAGGTAAGCATAAGGCCGCATGCCTCAAGTGAGCGCCACAACCAAAGTGACACAACTTAACCAGCTCCCTCACCCCTTTTTCTGAATGGATAGCAATATCCTCATGCAAAAAAAGCTAGTAAGGACAGTGTGTTGCACTATTTCAGCATGCAATATCGAGCTATAACACAACGCCATCTAGGGGTTTCTGCCCCAGCACAGCTCACAGAGCTGACCGGGAAGATCCCGCATGCAGTATTGGAACTGGGAGGGGGGAGGGGGGGCTGAGATACGAAAGTCTGCCTCCACATCTTGCATCACATGTGGGGCTCTCTAGCACTATTCCAGCCCCTGTGGTCTAGCTCCAACAGGACTCTGTACAGTAGGTGTAATCTTGCATGCACCCCATAGAAAACGAGTATGTTTGTGTGTTTGTCTGTGTGTGTGTGTGTGTGTGTGTGTGCATGTAAGAAAGTGTGTGAGAGACTTAGTGAAAGGGTCCTCAGGGTTTGGGTCGTGCACTTACAGAGTTAAGAGAAATGTTTTATCACATGCTTTCAAGACAAAACTATTGTCTGGCATGGACGTGTATGCCAAAAGTTCTAAAATACAATACCCATACAGCCCTAAAGGCCGGTGCTTGTTCCTGACAACATCATAATCTCACTAGGTCAGGTCATTCAGGAAGGAGAAAATCACTGGTTCTTTGCTTTTGAACTTGTCATAGTAATGACAGCACACCTTACTGCCCCCTTGTGTTGATATCTGTGTCTAACCTCAGCCACTTAACTTTCACCATCTTTGATTTGTGAGACACGTGGATCTGGTCAATTAGTTTTTTTTACAAGGAAATAAAACAGCTTCCCTTATAACATTTCACTTTATGGTCAGGAAAAACCCAAGAGGCACTAAAAAGATCCCACCACTGCAGCCTGACCAGGCACCTGGGCGACACCAGGCTCGTGTCTGTCAGCTAACAAGGCCTAAATCCGGTGTCCACATCGAGTGAAGCGCGTCCCCATTCCTCAAGCAACCGTGTCACGTTTGATTTCCTTTCCCTCCACTTCCATCTTCCGCGTTTTCCTCTTCAGCCTGCTGGAAATCTTCCTCAGGGGGCCGAACAGAGTTGCTTGAGGTTCATACATTCAGTCACTTATTTGGTACATTCATCACTTTCAAAGGGTGGGAGGCGATATCATCTGTGAGGAGGACGTTCTGTGTCATACTGATGAGCGGACGTCATCTGAAAATGCATGTATTGCTCGGGATAAATGTGTGTTTGAAAGACAGGAACCCTGCACTTCTGTTTCACTGAAGTGTGTCAGTAAATATGTCTGTAGTCTGGAGTGAGTGCATCAGAAGGAAGTGCACCCACAGCATCGAGGCTAATGCTGTAATACGTGTCTGTGTGTGTGATACTGGGTGTCCATGTTGAGTATATGCAAGGGCTGCGTGTCTCAGATGTGTCTTTACCTTTCGTGCCTGTGTAAGAGCTCCGATGTCGCAGTATTGAGGCTAACAGTCCTGACCAGCACCTGCCGTCATTATCACAATGGGTCTATGACACTGTCCGTGAATGTCACTGATGATTTGTGACTCACTGTCCAGCTTATTCAGGAATCAAAACTGTGAAAACAAGTGTACTTTCAGTCCTGAAACAACTGGTTTTATGTAATTTGTGTGTACGTTTATCTGTTTGAGTGTGTATGTGTGCACACTAGTGTATCCCCTGCTCTCAGACAGGCAAGGAGGACCAGCCAACATCCAGCTGTAAGTCTAAAATGTCACATCTTTCCATGCTGATAAAAAAAAATCTTGGGGGACACACTGGTTTGCACCATCAATAAAAACAAAAATGTTTGTGTGTGTTTTGTGCAAAGGTGAAATGTGTGTGTGTGTGTGTGTGTGTACTATAGTTCATAACGTTGCACCCCCAGTGCAGAAAAGGACACAGTTTAGAGGTCCAGAGAGGGAGAAGGGAGCTTAGTGGTTTTTGAGCAGCTGTCTCTGAGGTGCAGGTTAGAGGAAGAGGAAAGGAAGTGGTGGAGGAGGATTAAGGGAGGTGCTAAAAATCCATTAAACAAGGCCATTAACTGAAGAGATAAAGCACACATGTGGCTCAGTGAACAAACCATGAAAACAAGAAATAGTACGATACAGCTTTTCCAACCATCCTCCGATTCCCCGCCTTTCCTCCAGAAGGTGATCGCTCGATCCGCTTCCACTAGATACGTGAGAGAAAGGCAGAGAATCGGAGCGAAGCCTGCGTGCTGAGTGACGAAAAGCCAGTCAGAAAAAACAGCAGTTATCCACAGGAGAGGGGGGTGGGGGGTTAGTTGCCTTTTGAGGATATTAGTTTTATTTTCCATGTCTGTCCTATGGTGGGAAAGGTGGATTTCCAGATGCTTCGCTCGCCCAAGTGAAACCTGGGTGTGAGCTGATATGAGGCTACTCCAACCCGAACGTGCTCGTTTCCTCTACAGCAGTAACCAGCTTCTCGTACAGCATGGAGAAGGAGGGGTAAGGTGGGAGGTCCAGACGATTAAAGCAAGTGTGAGCCCTATGGAGACACACACAGTGACAGATTAACAGATCAATATGACTCATCTGTGAGAGCTCAGCCTTAAAATATATATAGAAAAATGACACATGATGGCATGATTTCATTAACCACAGCTAGGGACAGTGTTGTGTTGTGTTTGTATGTTGTTGTTGAGGTTTTTGGTGTTGAGGATGTTATCTTTTTTTAGAACATATTATGTGTCAAAAGAAATGAATCAGCTGTATCTTTAGGCCAGCAGGGTTCTGCTGATATACTGTGTTTATCAGGTTTGGTAAGTAATGGTACAAAATTATTGCAGTGGGGAATAATCACAGCTTTAAGAATTTAAACTATGTGCATTTTCTGTTGTTATTGCGGGCTGTCAGGTTATTTTAAGTCACTGGAACAAAACCAAGATCCAGAACTGAAAGAACAGGTTAATGGTGGAAGCAGCATAGAATAGGTGGTGAACAAGAGGAAGGTGTGTCTCCCTGGGACCAGTTCTGGCTTCATGTTAAAATGCCCTCTGTTGTTGTTTTGTTTTTGTTTTCTGTTTTTTTTATATTTAACTGGAATCTGCCTCCATAATATATACAAAATGTGCCAGGTGTTCCTGTATTCTGGAAAAAATGTGTATCAAAAACACATAACAATTAAAAAATTAAAATTCTAAAACAACCGAATTTACGTTAATATGTTAACAAAAGAATGTCATTTACACACTTTCACAATAGCCACCAATGCACATATTGTAATAAGTGTAATTAGCAATTGATATTTAACATGGTGACAGCTCCACATTACAAATAATAAAGAAAGAAAAGAAATTAGATGAGACAATGTCTTACGGATAGGACGTCTGACTTGTATTATTCGATTTTGTACAAACTTTAATAATAAACCACAGGTGGGAATATTGGTAGAGAGAACATTTAGATGCATAAAGATTGAGTGTTTTCTATGTTTTTTAAACGTGACATATTGATTCCATTAGTTAACTGAATGTGAAAGGAAAGCCCAGAGAAAGAGAAAGGATTGTTGTGCATATTGCTAAACACACCTCTATGGCCTATTGCGCACACTAAGGACAATATTCCTAACTGTTTAATCTTGTTTGTAATAATCAATATTTCATATTGCAAGGAAAGGCTGATATGAAATATAAATGTGGGGTGAGAAAGACAAACAAAAGGCCTTTTTCCTCCCTCCAGCAAAAAGACAAAATACACAACCCTGTTCATTTTGTGCAGGCCCTAAAGGCTACGTAGTGGTCCCGTTAGACATCCTACCTGGGTAAGGAGGTGATTTTCCCCCATTTCTCCACACAGAACCTGCGGGGTCCGTTACTGCCCCGTAGAGAGGCAAATCCCTCGTAGGGAATACTGGAGGTGCCTGTCACGAACTAGAGAGAAGAAGCCCATTAAAGTCAAGAATAGTTTGAAAGCAGCATCCTAAATCAGTGGTTCCCAACCTTTTCTGTGATCTTAGGTGACATATTTTATCGATTATATATATTATATTCAAAACAATGAACACAAACAGTGAACTCAGTAACTGTAAAAACTGTACGTTTGTGTAAAACGAGTGATTTGGATGAATTTTGAGCAGATTATTGTCTGTTTTATGTGTTTTTTTGTTTTTTTTTACAATTTTTAACAATCATACAGACTTACTTAGCCAGTGTTTTCTTGTCTCTGACACTTATTAGACAATTTACTTTTCCTCACAGAAGTGAACCAAATGCTGAAATACAGGCCTATGAAACTTTGGCGACCCCTAGTAGGAGTCCAGACCCCCAGGCTGGGAACCACCGTCCTAAAACATAGTTATTATTTATGACATCAATATTTTTACTTCTACATATTTCAACATTAAACAGAAAATTGTATAATCTTGTTACATAAAAGACTGATAAAAGTAAGATCTTTCTGCAGTGTGAAGCACGACTCTGCGGCGCCTGCAGGGCACCCGGCCTCCACACGGGGGCAGCCCGTGTGCATGCGGTCACCCACGTGCCATACCTGCAGCAGCCTCAGCCTCTGCTCATTGTTGAACCTCTCCACAGCAGCCCAGAACCAGCGAATCACTATGTGGTTGTCATGGTAACCTGCGGGGAGATAAATGATGATGGTGCATGAGTCAGATGAATAACAAATAAAGCCTCTGTCCCCCCCAGTTCATCACCGCTCTTCCTCCAACTCCCATCTCACTTTTTCTCCACATTTTTTTTGAACGGGCTCTGCTGTTTAATGTTTAATGGCCGGAGCTGTTTTGTCCATCTGAGTCGATTCCTCTATTAAAAGAGCCTCACACTGAGTCACGGCCGATTGTCAGTTTGAGTTCTCCTGTCTCCTCGCTGCTGGCGGCTTTTCAACTGTATTGGCCAGACCCTGAAAAGCCTTTTAATGTGATCTCTCACAAATGGTTTGGACACTGGTGCTTGCATCCTTGTACTGTACACAATATATATTACAATAATTAAATAGCAATAACTCCCTAAAGTTTCAAGTGCTCATTATACAGTACATTACAGTAGTTAGATAGATAAAGAAATTAGTTCTCAAAACTAATAATAATAATAGGGAATCATTTTTACCTTTTTAAATTAACTGACAGAAAATTCATTGATTTTAATTTTAAAAATCCAGACTTTAGTTTGAACTCTGAACGTTCTCATCGGAAACATCTAAACTCTGTTCATGCTACATTTAGGACTAGATGTTGCAGAAGTAAGTTACCCCTCGTGTCCACTGGATGGATGCGGTTTTGTGTCTCTGGAAACAATTCAGAGGGGCTCCATCTGTTCCTTAGCAGCCACATTTCTGACATTGTTTGGAGAGGTTTAGCTGACATTTCTTTGCTTTTACAAGCATACTGAGCAGATTGGGAACAGATCCTTTGTTGTCTTTACTTGTTTAAACTTCATTTTGTATCTGTATTTACTGAATTATATATATATATATATATATATATTAGTGTAAGGAAAACCTCAGCATTCCTTTAGAAAAGTAATTTTGCTGGTGGTCAGTTTAAGACTAACTTAAGGTTAAGACCAAGCTCTCACATTCAGGGGACACATTGGCTGCAAGGTCAAATACTGCAATTGCAAAATGTTTCACCATTAGTGTGAATCATCATTTTAGCATCACATTTTTCATTTTCACTGAATAAATCATTAAAATCATGATAATGTGACATTTGTTGAGCTATTCAGCACCAAACAAACATGTTCTCTGTAGAGAACAAGGTTTGTAGTGCTACAGTACTTCATTATAATGTTTAACCTTTATTAAAATATTGCACCTTCTGCAATTTGGACATTGCACGTAGCCATATTATATCAATTATATTTTGATTAATTGTGCAGTCCTATTTACAGCTAATGTGGAGATTGCCAGGTTTAATCCTCAGAATGGCCTTCTGCTCAAAACTCAGGGTCCATTAGTGGTTGCACCTTTGCGGCTTCAGGTTGTGGACTGAAAATGAGCCAGTGTATGCATTTAACTTTGCAGGTTTTCTCCACGTTGCCACATTTTCACCTGCGTCCCCCGCTCCGTTGCCTCGTTGCTTCCCTGCAGCTTTACATACCTCCTCTGTACTCCGTGTTGTTCCTCCAGTCTGCCAGGTCGATCTCCGCAGTGCCTGCAATCACAAGCTCCAGCTCCCTGGCGTCAAACACAGACACCAGTCGCACATCCACCACCTAACAAACACACAAAGAGACGGATGAACACATGGCATCACATATGGCACAGCCTTTATCACAGACTTCCCACATACGTCAGGTTATTTGAGGGATTTCAGAGCACTCACACAAGCACTGTGGAGACACTGATGGCAGTCGGATAATTGTGGGAAAAGTTTCCATCAGTTTGTTTACACTAAATGTTGGATTTGATTTGTTTAGCAAACCAAGGCTTGTAAACTCACACTGACACATGTAGCCCACAAAGACCCGGTAATCTGTCATCCTGCCACGCAAGGGACTTAAACGGGGGTTGAGTTTGTACCAGTAATGAAAACACATAAGAAAAAGCTGAATATGAGCATCAGTCCAGATTACAGCCCACTCTTGGTTCACTTTGTCATGTGGAGCTCCCACAGCATGAAGGACTGTGGGCCTTCAGATGTCAACATCCATCTTATATAGTTATAAACTGGAAGGCCTTCTCACTTGTGCAAATATTTCAGAGGAATACACACACGTTTATCTGTCATAATTTAGAGCTTGAACAGACCGCTGCAGACATTCCAGGTAGGAACGAGTCCCACGCAGACACTGTGTTTGTTATACAACTACTGTATGTTCACTGCATTCACTGGAGTCATAACAGGCATGCAATAGCTTTTTAAGAGTACATTTCCCAGGAGTTTTTTCATGACAATACAGGACAGCACCTGCTCAAACACAGTGGTCATCCATTGGTGGTCATCTTCTGGTTGTTCTCACCACAGCTGACCTTTCCGCATTCTGAACTGACTACAGTTTACCTCTAACTGTAACAGTAATTTGGCCACAGCCCAGGCTAAAATATGAATAACATTTTCCAGGATATTTGGTCATTATAATTAATTTACATGTGTTTCCATAAGCCCGCTCAATGCACAAAGCGCATGCATACATCCATAATGAGTTACGAGCTCAAATGTGACGGCAAGATAGTAAGCAGAGGTCAAATGTGGACCAGGAGAACCTGTTTTCTACCAAATTATTGAACCAGTTTCGTTCAGGATTCAACAACAGTCAACAATAAATAATCTTCTTATTAGGAATAAAATAAAAAATAGACCTCCCTCCTGTGTAAACTGTCTATGGATGAATAAGGACGGCCTATACTGCTGTATTTTATTGTGGGTCATGACGGTGGTACTCGGAGAGCCTCATATTTCTGAGGTGGTTCGCTGCATAAAAACTTTGCGAAAGGCTGATCTATGCCCTATGTCTAGCTCCTACATTTCCATGGTGAGCAGGTACCACAGATGTCTGGTGAAGAGCTAATAAGTCATGATGCAGTTCACTGAAATGCATTGCTGCTTTGTCATTTGGCTTCATCATAACTGTTTTTAGCCTTCCCAGTAAAATGTATTATGACACCAGTTGCTTGCTCAAAGCACTGTCACTGAAAATGGCAGATGTCAGTCGGAGTGTGGGTGGAAGGATGCTTCTGGGGCCTTCAGTCCCGATGCAATGACGCAACCAGCCTGCGTCATTGGTATTGATCATAGCGTATATTATAGTCATTATGTGCTGTAAAGAAGAAAAATCTTACTTATTGCCCCTTAAAGAGGGGCTCAGAGCACCGATGTTAAATGCTGTACCTCATAGAAACCTCGGACCAGGCTCTCCGTCTGCTGGGCCACTCCTCTTTCTATACGCCACTTGACCATGCGCTCAATGTACTCCTTTTTGTTCTTCTCTGACACAGGGATACCAGCCCCGCCTGGCTTCAGCTCTCTCTCTGTAATCTGCAGAAGCACATGCAGACATGGAGGATGTTAATCTTAAATGCAGATTTATTTTTGCAGATTTATTTTTGCCAGTTTGTGACTGCGGTCACAAACTGAACAAACCCCGCCCACCTGTCCGAAGACCTCCTCATTGACGGTGAAGGTGAGGTCCAGCATGTCTTCGATGTCGTTGTCCTTCATCCATTGCAGGCTCTGGTGGAACTCCTCGTCCAGGAACTCCAGGTCGCTCAGGTCACATGGGCTGCATGACACAGGCAGAGGAGGTCAACAAGGTATTGATGGGTTGCCCTACTCATAAACCATAGCTGATTGTAAGGAGGGAGGGCAAAGGTTAATTGCCCGATGTATAAAAGCCTAAGATAGCTTTCTCCAAACAGTAGTAAAATATAACACACCGTGTCACAAGACAATATGTTTGCTTAAATTTATCACGTAACAGCATAAACCCCTGGAGATGTACCATCGCAGTTATGAGGGATGTGAGATGCTTACAGGAGCACACAGATAATAAATTAAAGTAGAAGGCAAAACACACATACTAATTCATCTAAAGCTATCGTTTTGATCATCTTTCCCCTAAATGTACCTTTAACCTTTTGAATTTTAGGCTGTTTTTTGTTTTTCTTAGAATGTAAAATACATTCCTGTTTTTTTGATAAATGCTTGTCTGCACAATAATAGTGGAGCCAAGAAAAGCTCCATGTGGCTGAAGAGGTTAAGAACCCTTATTATTACATAAACATCTGTCCTTAGTGGACATTTGGCAGGGTTTTAGGTTGTTTGGACAAAGCTATTAATAAGGACGGTGCTCCCACTGATAGGAAACCCAGCCAGCTGCTGGCTGAGAGGATCTGACTGAAACACTCATATTCTCAGCACGGCCTCCGTGGAGTTAGTGAGGGGGATCTGATTGGAAGTGCTGGTGCCCCGCAGGCTGGTATGGAATGAAAAGTCAGGGAGGGAAGCAGGCTGAGGGACTTACATGCGAAGAAGCCCCTTGTAGAAGGGTCGTGTAAAGAAGGCATCCAGCAGGTACTGATGGACGAGAGCCAGGCCTAGGATACGCCCACTGAAGCGAAACCTGCACACAGCACAGAAAGCACAGGTGAACGCAGGCTTCAGCATCAGAACTGGATTGAGCAGTCCCCTTCGGATCAAGAGCTTTGAGTGCCAGATCGAAGGGGTTCAGATGTTGACAGAAACAGCAAAACATAGTAAACATATTTTAGATCTTCTCTCCGCGGATGCATACACACTGTGGACATTAGTTTGCTTGTGTGTACATGTTGACGTGTGTGTAGCATTTAGCAGGCTTAAGTGAAATTTGAAGTTCACTTTCCAACTGAGGATGCACCAGATGGTGACACTGTTTCTCACAATAAATAAAATCCCCCAAGATTTACTGTGAGAACAATGCATCGAGTCAGAACAGTGCTGAGGTCGGCAGTAGAGACCAACTGCAGGGTTTCTGCATCTTTAGAAAGGTTAAATTTAATGCTTTTGACCATTACAAATGCAATTTAAGACTTATTATATGACAAAAAAAGCATAAAGGATATAAAGGAAAATTGGTTTCATTTTGCAGTTGTTACAGCATGATCATCTTAAAAATACAAGTTACGTTGTTTATATTAATCCAATCCATTTTTGAGACATGTCAAAATCATATTTAAGACATTTTAATACATTTCGAATGCCTAAAATTCAGAAGTTACTGGAGATTTGTAGACTTTTGTTAAAACCCGTGAACTAAACCGAGCGAAGAGAGGAGCCGTGCATGTTCCCACCCACTTTCCACACTGTGTAAAGATCGCCTTTTCTAGTCGTATATTGGCAGAAGTGTTTCCCTAATGTCAGAATCAAAGATCTGTACTGGTACAAGACCACATTGTTTTTGCTTGACTCCCTCAGTTTGATAAATTGCCACAGCTTTGTCCTCGCAATGTCTGTCATCCATCTATCCAACCATGCATTTCTCTAGTGGTTGGAGATAGCATTACAATCTAATCTATATGGTTATCTTAGCCAGTAGCATGTTGTTTTAGATGGGAGGAAATTTAGTTTACAGCTGGATGCATCAGAGTTATAGTGCACGACTGGAAACTAACTTTTTCACCACCTTTCCCATTTTCCCCATTTTATTTTTATCGGCCGATGCTGATTGCCTCAAAATGCCAGCTAAACGGCTATCATCTATCACTTCATCTGTGCAACCAAGTGTCACTGAGGCAAAGAGGCAAAACTGACTGGTGATCCAAATTTTCCACACAGCACCCCACAAAACACTTCTATTTTGGGATCGGCACAGAGCAGTCAGAGCAGACAGGATGAACACTACAGCCAGCAGAGCAGTAACTTAAACAAACACACAGTACACACAGACAGACTGCAGATACAGTACATAGACACATACGTATATGGAAACCTCACCATTCGTGGTGGTTGTCTACAAAGGCCGACATGGGGCTGATCTGGACCGTGTACGTGTCATTGGCTGAATATTCAAACAGGCCGTAGTACGGGTTAAACAGCTCTCTGGATACCAGGAAGAAAAACTCTCTGGAGGGTCCGCTGTAGTCCAGCCTGCAATCATCACACATTATAACACATATGTATGTCAGTAGGAAGAGTGAATCAGCTACTGTGCAATCACATAAAGCACTTAAAGGAACAATGTATATTATTGGATTCTGGTGAAGAGAAATCTGGAGAACTGGTGGTTACATCAGCAAAGATACACCCCCACAATCATCGGTTCTTGTGCATTTGCTGCAGAAACATGCAGGATTAAACAGTTAACTGCTAGCAGAGGATATATTATCAGTCATTCACACAATGTAATAACACAGTAGAGCTGCTGCCAATCATCTCCCTACCGAGGTGTGTTTACAGTAACTCTAAGTATTAAGGTTAAAATATTCTTCAGTAGTAGTTATTTTTCCTCCCACTTGCTCTCACTCACCAGAAGAATGTGGATTTACTGGGCTGTTATCAGATGTGTGTGTAATTGTACATTTTGAAACTTAAGATAAGAACGAATGCTCAGCAAAACTCCCCTGGATCAATTACACTTTGCAAATACACACATTTCACACTCGCACTGTCTGAAGCATGATAAGGAGGCGAACTGAGAGTGAAATGCGGCTTTCTCACCCGTCCTCGCCCACAAAGCTGACGTAAAGTTTACTCCTCTGTAGGTCTTTACGGGAGTAACACATGATCTGGTTAAAGGCGTCCTCCAGGAGGTGGTCCCTGCGTATGATGAGCCTGGGAGCACACACACACACACACACACAGAGATCCAGCAGTGTTAGACCTGATGTGCTTTTGGGTTCATACTGGCTGTTTTTCTGAACCGTTACATGTTAATTTAGACAGTTCCTACATAAATCTCTCTCAATTGTAGGGTTTCAACCTACTTGACTTTTCCTGGCCCCTGTCCGTAACCCTTGCTCTCCAGCTTTCGATAGAAGTTCCTCAGTTTAGCCTCAAAATCTCGCTTGTAGGGAGCCGGAGCGCGGGCGTTGGCTCGCTGGGTGCCTGAGATATAAATAAGAGAGAGAGTGAGGGGGGACAGAGAGAAAATGGACAATGAAAATCAGGCATCAGGCACAACAGACCACTGAACAAAGAAATGAGTCACAGACAGACTGGTAAGAGAAAAAAAAGGATAACAGAGACAGGGAGATTGAGACAAAATGAAATTTTAATGATCCGGAGCGGAAATCAGCTAAAGCCTGAAGGGATGAGGAAGAATTGGAATCCCAGAATGGGAAGTACTGTATGCAGGTTAATCTTGGATTGTTATAAATATCATTTATTGGATAGATGAACAACAATACCTCTGTGTATTGTTGTTCATCTCTCCAATAAAAACACATCTCTTCACCTGTCAACAAAAACAACAATAAGATGTGCGTGTTTGCATGTCAGCTACATCCAGGACACATCTAACCCTCACCAACTAACTATTGTAGTAGACAGGATAAGTTGTTTTTATTACGTTTTGTTTCAGTTTTGTCTGTTGTAAAATCTGTTGTACACTTGCACAATAATGTATCATTTAAGGACTTTAAGAACAGTATTTGTATGTATGTAGAGGTTAGGGTTCATGTCTTATGCTTTGTTTTATGTTAGCCTGACACCAACCTCTGTTATATACGAAGGTACACAGTGCATGGCTTCTTTTATTTAATAAGACAATGGAATATCCTATTTTATTTAGTATGTAATGTAAACCAAACCTCATGGCGGAAGGTGTGATATTTAATAACAAAGGTAAGAATTTAATAAAGGCTTTAATAAACTTTGTGTCTGCGTCACCACGACTGCACCGAGGGAGACGGAGAACCTACCGGGGGAGCTCTGCGGAGAGGAGAGGCAGTAATTCGGGTGGAGTAACGGCGGCACGTATGACATCACCTCCTCCTCAAATAAGCTGGAGACGAGAGAGACGGACACACACAGAACACAATCAGAAAGGAACAGACATATAAGCAGTGGTGGAAGAAGTATTATCAGCAAAATGTACTAAAAAGTAAAAGTACTCGTGCTTAAAAATGGTTCCTGTCAGCCTTTTGTTATTATATATGATGTTTTTGGATTAATATCACTGCTGTTGCATTTTACTGCTGTAGATGTTTAAGATTGAGCTTTTAATTTAACTGCGTTATATACTGTTGGGTACTTTAATCTACGGATACAATATTTGTCTCTGAGATGTAGCAGAGTAGACGTTGCATAAAGCCGGGGATTGCTTGAGGTATACATATATATATATATAAGGAGTACAGTCTAGACCTGCTGTAATGGAAAAGTGTCCTGAGATTTAATTGAATTTAATTAAAATGTAGCTCTACTACCTCTAATTTGTACTGAGGTACAGTACTTGAGTAAATGTACCTAGTTAAATTCTACCACCGCATACAACAGCAAAGCATTAGCATAGGTGGATAAAATGGGAATTAGACTTGTATTCCTGGAAGTGGTGGAGCCCATTGGTTCTAATTAAATTTTCAGAAGTGATCAATAACCAGCCCCCCACCCCGACACACACACACACAGGACTCACCTCAGCAGCATGACGAGGTCAGCGTCGCTGGAGAGACGAGCCAGCCCACTGACTCCCTCACTGCGAATAAACTGCACCTTCTCCCTGCACACACACATACACACATACACGCACACACACACACACATTAGGGGCTAAACTGACACAATCCATTAGGATTAAAGGTTAACTGTGTGTTCAGGGTGACTGATGATGATGATAATGGAGGCAAGCAAGGCTAGAGAGGGGGAGAGAAAAAGGGAAGCGATGAAAGACCAGAGGAAGAAGGGAGGGAAAACAGAGACATACTTGAGCGAGTGGTTCCTGGCGAGCTCGGGTTGCCTTTCCTGCAGGATCTCAACGATGTTGGGTTGCCGTAGAAACGCCACTATCTTGTCATTGTAGGCTGGAGAAGATTAGGAAAGTGCATTTATATCTGTGACTCGTGTGTTAATGTTTTCATGTGCACACTCCACTCTGCCTGACTTACCCACAGGCACCACATCTTGGTACTGACTTCGACTGGAGCCGCTGAAGGTGCTGGAGGGGCGGGGCATGACGGGCGGGTTGGTTTGGCGTGAGTCGTCCACTACCTGTGACAAAAGAAAGCACTACAGTTCAGGTCGCATCCTAGTTCTGAGACCAATTCACCTGCTGGTCACACCTGTTCTCACCTGTTCCACATTTCTAATGTTTCTGGTTTTCCATCACAAACCACATAAAGTACATAAGTTTATCATTTCCCAAGCTGCCATTTAGGTCAGTTAATTCCAGTATTGTATTTGTTTGGTATTTGAGCACAGTGAAAGTTCAGAAATCTGCATCAGGTGTTTATATGCTACAGTATCCAGGTTTCTCAAAACCAGGATAAGGCCTTATCCAGGACAGGATGTTTACATGCATTAAATACTTCAAAAACCTGATCATAACCAGGATTCTAGTCCACACTCACTGTACTGTATCAGAAAGCCAAACCTTGAAGACAAACTATAGGTAATCCTGTACATTGTTTAAAAAGTTATGGCAAAAAATATTATTTTCTGATATTCCAGAAAGCACTTTAATGCCCTCTTCCTCACTGAGGGTATTCAAGTGCTTTCTGCATTAGTATGCACTGCACAGTTTTTTTTTTCCAAACAGAAGACCTTTCCAAAATCCATTACCTTAGCCTGATAATTGAACCCAATGATGTTGCAGCTTCTATGGATTAAGGAGGCAATAAAAGCCATCTATCATGTTCACTATGACCCCTGGTGTTTATAGTACTCATACGAACGTATAGCTACTAATTTGACAATAACTGATGCTTGTCATTCCTGCGTGCAGAAGAGCTTTGAAAGAGATGAGAGGAAACAAGATGAGAGCAATGGTGCATCTGTCTCTCATTATATCAACATGAGAAGGATCAATTATTTGATATACAGCGTGTCTATGAAGATTTGTCATCCCTGTGATACAGTAAGACATCTAGGACTAAGTCAAAGACAGCTGGATTTGCTGTTTTAGTCCTGAAATAAGTTGATTCATTGCACTCAAAAAAGGTAAAAATTAACTAAAATTAACTTTCTCCCGCTGACTTGCAATCCAAGTAGCACTGATGTCATTGCTCCTCCACAGGGACCCTGCTTGTGCCCATAATGCAGAAACTCATGAAGCATTTTTCTCCTTCAAACTGGCCTCTATAAACATCGCAGTGTCTCTGCTAGCCTTTAAGTTGACTCCAGGTGACAAGTGGTGCAGTGGCTGCTAGTCTCTCACCTCCCCGGCACTGTGGCTGCGCTGGCGGCTCAGGTGCTGGCGGTGGGCCAGCAGCCCGGTGGAGCGAGAACTCTGGAGGGGAAGCCGTGGGTCGATGAAGGTCGTGGACCGACAGTTGTGATCCACAAAGAAGGGCTGAGGATCGAGATGCAAAGAACCCACAGTCAAGCACTATGTGTACACAGAAACACGTAGAGATTATAAAAGAGCCTACTGGAGCAGATATTACAGTCAATGGATACACATGACCTTCAGGGTTGGGGTAATCCCAGGTCAAAAGTCAAAGGTTAAGGGTCAGACACACACACACCTTCCCAGTATGGTCGTGCTTCATCTCCCAGCCCCGGGGAAGCTCCAGCTGCTTGTTGGAGAACATGTTGAGGAAGGTGACGAGGTCGCGGTTGTGCTGGTAGCGCTCAAAGTAATGAGCGTCCCGACGCACCTTACTGATCATGTGCTTCAGGCAGGTGTTGCTCGTAAACATGCGGTAGGCACTCTGGGCAGAGAGGTGATCAGAGATCAGAGAGGGACAGGAGGCACATTTTCAGTTCATTCACTCAATTTGTTAAAGGTGTTTAAATGTCCCTTTGCTCAAGTAACAGAATCTAAAGTTTTAATCTTTTTATATTCACTGTTTTGGAAAAATCATAACTACATAAAACAAAGGAGTGCAGCCTGTATTGATCACAGTCATATTGTCTACATTGAGCTGGAGACTGAGTTTGAGTTTTTATTAAACTAAGATTTGAGCATTTGTCATTTTTATCTAAAAAATGACAAATAAAGCAATGTCTTAAAGGATCAATTCACCTAAATACCAAACAACAAACTAAATCTAATGTAATGTATTCAACACCACCCCTAGTTAGATATAACAATGGTCATTTTGTTTCTACTGCGTGTGCTCAGTTTCTTCTGCATCTGCCCCTTTAAGCCCACCATGCACATAAACTATCAGCACAGCCGGGTACAACTGGAGGTAAGTTTGATTTGTTTCGTGATTAGTGTGAATTTAGCCTTTATAGTATTTAACTTTAAATGATAGGACAGAAAAATGCAAGCATGTCATGAGTTTGCATTTTGCTTGTATGTAGACAATACATAGATTTATGTAAAAGGAGAACGAGGTGAAAGGTGTTCAGACTGACAGGGTTAGAATGCAGCACGGTGAAGAAGTCGGGGCTGCACAGGAACTTGGCGCTGGGTGACTGGAGCAGCAGCGAGAGACGCGAGCGCCCGCTGGAGTGAGCGACTGCACTGTCTCGTCGGTATTCTGCAACAAAATCAACAAACACCAGTCAAACCTGGAGACGATAACAAAAGCAGCATTACATATCCAACAATATGTGTCAGGAAATAAGACTGCGGCCACTCTGAGATCATTGTGTTTTAAATAATAACTCTCTCAGACTGGTGGTGCACCATAGTATTTCAAGAGATGAATCATTCTCAAGAGGTGAGTCACTGAATGGGCAAAATGAACACAAAGCTCTTGTAAATGAAACCTCTAATTTGTCTGTTTTTACTGAAACTAGCCTGAAATGGAGTGAGGCATCAGTTCACTTTCTGGTTCAGGAAGCAGGTCAACCGGGGCTTCCTCTGCCCGATCGCTGTTGGTTATGGTCCTCCTGATGCTCTGGTACCTGTGATAGAGCGTTGAGATGAAGTGCAGTTCTCCATTATTTTAGTAAAGGATGTGTTTTGAATTGTGCACTATGTATTAAAACACACAGGATTTAATGTCATGTCTTCAAGGAGTCTCACTCCTGAAGTAGTGTGGCATCATGGGAGTCTAGTTTTACACACCACTGATGATAGAAATCTGACGTGATATTCACGGAGGAGGTAATGATGTAACCTTTTATTAACGTTCCTTCCTGACGTATCCGACATATCTCGTCTCAAGAAAATATATAACACCAACCTAGCATTTTTAGACATTTTAATGTGGAAATATTACATATTATATGTTTAAGTAATTTCTCTAAAAGTCAAATCAACAACTGAGGCATCTAAAGCAAAGGAATTTTTGCCTGCCTGACTTTCCCTGCTGAAAGCCTTTATAAATCTTTGTTTATTCGAGGTTACATTAGTAGAAAAACCTCAAGACAAAGAGAAAGAAAAAGAAACCCACAGGCAAGTCCCATTAAAAGAGAACTCATAACAGAAAAAATAGGTCTGTGAGGAGACATTTTGTTTTGGTTCTCTAGTCTGTTAAAAGCCACTGAAACTGACATGATGACAACCCCTGGTTTAGTAAGATATAATATATACTTGTCCTTCTAGATAATAATTCATAATAACACGATGGTCATTGCAGTACAGTTCTCTTTACAAAGCCTACCTGCGGTTGAGTTGCTCCATCTGCTGAATGGAGTTGGAGCGGGTCAGGCCCTGCGGGGCAGGAGGTCCGGTGGGACGCTGCCACGTGGTGGTTCTGTTCACGTGGTCCACGAAGAAGATCCTCCCGTGGCTGTCGATCCGAGCCTCCCAGTCTGAGAGGCAATTCATAAGTGATACACAGTAGAGTTTAATGCCTCCGGGGAACATAACAGTACAAATACAGCATCTCCTAGCCAACAGTTAATGACATCAACCACTGAATTATAATAAAAATACAACTCCAGGCTGTTATAAGACTTCATACTTCACTTTTATGTCATCTATGACAAGAAATATTTTATTATATATCTCATTTCATAGACTATATTAGTGCATTCTGTGTCAAAATTAGCATTAACAAGATACATCTTCAAAATGAGAATGTTAGCATGCTCAGAAGGTTTAATGTTTACCATGTTAGTGTGTAAGCATGCTAACATTTGCTATTTAGCATTAAACACAGCATACAGCCGAGGCTGATGGGAATACCATTAGTTTTTGGGGTATTAAGTGATAAACCAAATTGAAATTTTGACCTTTGTGCTCGAGGAAAAGTTAGAGAATCAACAGTTATTACAATTCTCTTCACTGTGGCACTAGATGAAAGGTCGCAGGATCACCAAAGTTATTAGAATTTATCCTCTGGGGATCATTTTTGCAATTATCAAGATATTTCAGTGCCATTGGTGGACCGGAAGACATCCCTGAAGCTCCACTAGTGTGACTAAAGAGAAAGGACAATTTATTCACACCTTTTTTTTGGTGTTTCTTCACCTTTTACAGTGAGAAATTGCTGTTATTCATAACTATTCTTTGGGTCATTTGGGATCCATCTGTGGTCCAGGATTTGTAGTTTTAATTAGAGTCAATCAGTGAGACACGGACACGTGTACACACACAAAGACACACTGCTACAATAGACAATACGGAGCATGCAGACACACACACTCACTGGGAGGCAGAGGCTCGTCCACACGCTGGTATCGGTGGATGTCATGGCGCACAGAAGGAAGCGAACGTACAGGATGGCCGTTGACATGAGAACCTGAACACAGAAAACAAATTCAGAGGGGGAATTTTGTTTTAATATGATGAATGAATAGTGGCACTGTGGTTCAGTTTAACTTTTAAGCAGGAGAGACACCTTTTGGACTGTAAAAAGCCGACTAACTACCTTCCTCTCCATCTGTTTCTGTGGTGACTTGCTCAGAATCCACAGAGCCCGCCCCCTCAGGTGGTTTTGTCTCCTCCCCTTCCGGTTCTGCCGCCACGCCCCCGGCAGCCTGCAGACTCAGCCTCCTCACACTGATATCTTCCACCTCTGCATGCTCGCTGGCTGGGGCAGCTTCTCCTTCAGCCTCAGTGACAGCAACCTGCCCGCCCCCTTCATCGTCTACAGCCTGATTGGTTGGTGGGGTGCCGGAAACTACATCTCCCCCTGGATCTATTGCTGTCTCCGCTCCCTCCTCCGCTTCCTACAAAATATCCCACAAAATGATAATCATTATAGGTGAGGATGTATTAAAAAAAAAGTGTTTCCTGCTGAAGTGAATGTGAATCACATATACATTAATATGCAAGACATTCACTCCTACAAAATATATGAGAAGTACAGGAAGTCAACCCCAATGGTTCACAACGTGAGGCAGCAATTGGCTCCATCACCAAGGCAACAAAAGAAAGAGGAGAAACATTCGAGTTCATGCAAATAATATGCATTGGTGCGTTGGCGTGACAAGTAAAAGGAAACAATCTTAGAGCCTAAAAATCTCATGAAGAACAGATCACTGGTTCCCACTCATGTCATGTTTCTAGAAAATCGCTACTGGTACAAGACAAGTCAGACAAAAGGCAAAATATTCCCCAACTAACTGAATATGTATTATGTATTTACCAACCTTATAATGTACTGCACGATGGTGCTGCAGTGGAGTGTTATGGTGCAGTGTGACACCAACCCAGCTGGGTTTAGGACCCAGCGGAGACTGCTGCTGAGTATAATGTGTGCACTGTGAGGACAGTAATGACACTCAGCCACAGCAGAGTGGACTGTGACTACACTCAAAGATAAAGAAAATGAAAGAAGTGGTACGATGATATTTGACAAAAGCAAAATATTATTAGGATACATAACCAGAGCGTAGACATACTGAAGACCGTCTGAGCAGACTGTGGTGTTTACTTGCAAATTTTACACAATAAACCTTTATTAGTTTAAGTCAGTGGTTCCCAATCTGGGGGTTGGGACCCCCAGCAGGGGTCACCTAAGCTTCACAGGGGGTTGTAAGGCCCTCTTGAATTTAAGAGGTGTAAGAAATATAGTTATAATACACAGTAGAAAACTAAACATAATTGTTATTTTTAAAGTTTAGATTATTATTTAAGTCCTAAACTCTGAAGACCTGAACACATATGATTCACATGATTTGTGTGTGAAACATATACTCAAACAGTAGTGTTGAATAATTTGTTAATTTATTGATTATTAAAATATGTTTTTATAATTTTTCTTTTTTTTTAATTTCACTTATCAAGCAAAATATCCAACAGTAGCTGTTTCTAGTTCATTGAAACGGACTATTTACTTATTTTATTTATATGGCTGTAAAAATTGTCATAAAAATATTGTCAGATTGGTGATTTAAGCATTAAACACCTACAAATAATGCTTAGTTGCAGCCCTATAAGGGACACTTGTGGTTTTGTAGTAATACACGTGAACAGAGAGCTGAATCTCAGGTCGTGACCATATAGAGATAATTAACTCACCACCGCAGTAGTCAGTGTGATTGGACAGCTCTCTGATGATGAAAAGGCCGTCTGCGGGGCTGTTGCCATGGAGCAAGTGTCAATCTCTGAGTCCTCGCCAGCCCCCCTTCCTTCCTCATGCACTTCTCCCCCCACTGACACAGCATTATGGGACACAGCCTCTGTGAAAGGAGCCTCGTCCACTTCGGAGAAGACGTCTGGCTCCAAAATATCATCTAAGTCCAGACCTGCCGCCATCTCCAGGGCCACCTCTGCGTCAGGGGGCACGTTGTCTGTCCCGCCAACCGCACCCTCGGGCTCCTCCTCCAGCACCGAGGGCTCCAGCTGCTCAGGCTCCAGCTGGATCTCAGGAAATGGGTCGTCTTCATCGGGGCCGCTGACATCTGGAGGTTGTCCATTCATCAGCAGCGGTGACAGCGGCACCGGAGTGATGTCATTGGCCCCAGACCTGTCCTCGTCCTCGTCTGAATCGATGTGCAACATGGCGCTGAGCCTTGTGTGTGTGGGGAAACTGGAGCGCAGTTTAGGGGAGGCCGCACCCAGGGGTCTTTCACCGGGGCCTTTGGGGGCCTCAATAGCATCCAGGCCCTCAATGAGCGACCTCTGAAGCATTTGATGGCCTGATAGGCTTTCAGCCCCGAGAAATCTACCCTCTGCTCCAACAAGAGACAGGTCCTTCTCTGGGAAGGCCATGGCGCCACCTTCCCACATGCTTTGAGAGCCAGTAGGAGAAGGTCCTCCAGAGACCACTCCTGGAAGATGATGGGGCAGGTCCTCATCATCGGATGGAGTCCCTGGAGCTCCATTCAATGACGACATGCCAATGATAGAATCAGGAGAGGCACCTACAGTAGGCAGGACAGGTGGTTGAGAAAGACAAATGTAAAGTAGTGGCAAAGACTTAAAATACAATTTAAAGTCAGGTTTACCATCCGGCCCGGTCGAGGTGAGCTCCACTTTGAACTGCAACTGGCCGCTTACGTGTTCAGTGGGAAGGCGCCGACACAGGGGGAAACTCACGGGCTGGACTCTGGACAGTCAAACAAAAGCAGATATACCAACACCATGATATATGTGACATTAATAAATGAATATAGCAGCAAACAACTATTTGCTACGTAAAGACGTTGTTGAGTCCTCTGCAGAGAATGACGTCACTGCAACTGAGGAGAGCAACTGAAACTATTGTTTTTCTTATCTACAACTGTACATTTTTAGTGTTTTTGCTGGCTTTTACATGTTGAAAATAAAATTCTCAATCAAAATAAATTGAGCATTTACTTTGACCAACCCATAGCTGGTGATTGCTGGAACAATGAAAAAACTAACAAAGTTTTTGGTGAGTTTATGTTGTTTCTGTCCACTTTGGGGCAAGGTAAAAGGTTTTTGTCTCTGGAGTCTGGTGGTGAGTGATAGCAATATTATGTCTGTTTCTGGTCAAACAAAAGGTTTGCTACTGCGACATCAGCAAGTGAATTTCTTTTGTTACATAAATTATGTTCTTTGAGTAGGTGAACTGCGTGTGTTTGTCACCTACCCTGGTATTTTTTCAATAAGCCGCTGGACAGGGATAGTGAGCTGACCGAGGAAGCGTTTGATGATCGGTCGACTTTTTGCAAACTTGTCCTTCACCTCGATGTACAGGATGTCCGTCATTAGTGCTACAAATGTGTATTTCTGCAGGGAGACAAGAACATATACAGTCAACATGTAATCAATTGTGTACATATAGTCTTTGAAAATGAATGTGTGTGCATGTAAAAAACATGCTCAGTGTAGTGGGGTACTGTAGGGTACAAAAGCCCAAACGTCACCTCTCCATGCCAAACAGGGTTGGTGGTGTTAGCGATGATGGCTGATCGTCGTTCCTGTCCGTGGTGGCTGAAGATGGGGAAGACGCTTCTTTTCCCTGGGTGGATGGACATCTTCAGGTACGGGTCCGGATTGAAAAACATGCCTTTCTTTAAGCCTGTGGCTCGCAGATCTGCAACAAAGCATCAGTAAAAGCAGACTGGTGAAGAAATAAAGGTTAAATACTGAGGAAAGTAAAAGACTAATGCTTTCTTCTTGCGTTAACAAGATTTAAAGTCTACAACTAGACTTGCTGATGCTTAGGGTTATAATGTTTACCATGTTCATCTTAATTTGGCGCCATAGCATGCTAACGTTTGCTGATTAGCAGTAAACACAAAGTACAACTGAGGCTGAAGGTAGTTGGCCATAAACCAAAGTATAAGACAAATTTGAATTTTGATCTGATGATGGCTATATGAAAAGTCAGGTGATCACCAAAATGATTACAATTCATCATGTGAGGATCATTAATGTCTGTGCCATCCATCAAATAGAACCATGAATATCAATACTACGTTTTGTGGAAATCCATGCAATACTTGTCACAACCTTTCAGTCTGAACCAATGTGGTCATCCAAGCGACTGTCGAACCGAGTGACCGACATCCTTAGAGCCACGCTAACCTACTCTTAAGTTGTCTTTTAGTAGAAAACCTCCTCTGCAGATGTATAATGACAAACAGAATAAAGTGCTTCAGGTGAGAAGCTCTCTGTTGTCGTGTTATTCCTCATTATAATCTGTTTTTTGTCTGCCCCTGGAGCCCATAAACACCCAAAATGAGGGATCACCCATTACTTTGGCCAGTAACTTCCATAACTGCATCATAAAACTCTTTCCTGGTTTATTCATGTTTTTATTTGGAACAAATTTGAATTGTTTTTTTACCACATGGATAATTGAAACAAGCTGTACAGATATACTGGTGTTTTCCCGTAAACCTGTTTTAAAAAATCCCCCACAGACTTCTCGCATTCCCTGTCGTCCTCTGTCAGGAAGGCACCTCTTTAAATTCCAAAACCACTGTTTCCTGAAAGCAGCTTTTAAAGTTTATTCTAGCTTTCCCTCTAAGGACTGTAAGACAAACACAGGGAGAAGATTTCATTACTATGGCTTTGTTTTTGAGGGCTTTGTTAAATTTACTTAAAGTTATTGACTCCACTTCCAGATTTTCTTTGATTTGTCACAGAGAATGATTACATGACAAACCGAGTGACTGAAACATGCATTTTATAACACCAGCCAAAACCGCTTTCCAACATGTACACCGCTCAACTCACCTGTCAAAGTAAAGCTGATCAGTTTGCGTGGATGTTCAACGCCCACCTGCTCTGAAAGCCCCTCCACCTGAGAGAGAACAGACAACGTCACACCAGGGTGACACACAATTCACTTCAATTTAAAAGCCAATACAGGAGAAAACTTTGGAGGTGGAGGGAATTAAATTTACAGTATTTGTCCGTCAATTGAGTGGATTGTGTGAAACATGGTATTATGTCTCTGCCTGAAACACCACAAGGCTTCATTATTTACAAATCATGTGTACTTTACAGGACTACTGATAAGTTTTCCATTTAATTAAATTCAGTTTTATTTGTATAGGGCCAGATCATAACAGAAGTTATCTCAGTTTTCATATAGAGCAGGTCTAGACAGAAACCTAATAATTCTCACCATTTTTCAAAGAATCCAACACATATTCATATATCCTCCTTGTCATATCAACCCTTTAATGTAATAATCAACCACACTTTCAAGCAACAGTGCTCATGAATGCCCTGCTCTTTTAGCAGGTGACTTTCACATCCAGGATGCAGACAGAGTCAAAACTCTAATCCAAAAATAACCCAAACTAATTATAATTACTTTGGTGTGATGCCTAATTTTAACCGTAATGACAGAGCTAAACCTGAGACTCTCAAACCCACTGACACAGACCAGGACTGCGGGGTTCTTCACGGTGATGCAGGGGGTCGTGGCTCTCAGGGCTCCGCTCACTCCATGGTAGTACTTGAAACAGATCTTGGTCTCGGCTGCAGAGGAAGCAGCAAAGAGTTATGGGACGTGGAATCAATGGAAACATTATCTGCCTATTGTTGGCCACAAAACTGAGTTGTACTGCAGACTGTGTTTTGAATATGTAATGTGGTCTTAATTCTAAATACATGGTGAATATACTTGTTACATGAAGTCATATGAGTTTAAACACAAAATTTTAAACAACCTTTTACCTTTTATTTCAGACAATTAACAACAATGAAATGGAATCTCACTGTATGAGTGCCTTCGGTAACTTACGCTCCATAAAGTAGGGCCCGGGCTCCAACCTCCAAACGATCTGACCCTTCTGGGTGCCATTCACCCCTCGGTTCTTACAGTCCCACACGTTGGACGGACTAGTTTCATCTGGACAAGAGGGGAACGTGTGTTAATTCTTAGGTTAGATCATATCAAGCTATTGCAGTGTCTGATTTCAAACCAAAGAATGTAAAATTAAACAGATGACAGCGTTCATGCTCTGGATCCTTGCTCTTGCTTTGAAAAACTGCAACAAAGCCGCATCTGTTCCGTCGCTCAGCGTGTTTAGTCTGCGGACTCTGTCTTCCAAAACAAAAAGTTTGCCTTTAATCAGTGAAATCCATTCCCAAAATAGCCTCCCTACAACCTCTAACCAGAAGGACAAACTGCAAACTTCCTCTGAGTTAAAAACAGGGAGGGGGAATTCCGCTGTACGTAGCACTTTCGCACACAGATTAATGAAGCACCAAACTCAGCTGACTGGTGGAGAGAGTCGAGGGAGGGAGTGTGTGCTGTGTACGTGTGTGTGTGTGTGTTTGAAGGGGAAGTTGCTTATCATTGAATGTCTGCTTAGTCGAGGAAAGCGGTAGCCCCTCTGGGGTATAAGACCCTGGAGCAGGTAATGAAGTCCTGGCGGCCTTATGATCGATATGAAGTGACCTGACGCCCCGCCTGGCACCAGCAGTTTACACTATCTCTTTCTCCCACACAGCATTCTCACCTCCAAGGGAGAGTTTGGTCAGATAATCTAGACGAGTTAAGTCCTGGAGGTCATCACAAATATAACTAATTGTTTGATTTAAAGAAAGAATTACAGGAACTACACTGCTTTTATAAAATAGCTGCATGGTGTCCAGTATCTACTACTGTCTGTTGTACTGCAGGTTTGTCTGACCTCTCGGAAGTCAAAGACAGCCATTGTTTTTAGAAATCCATTATCCATTACTCACACAATACATCACAGGCTGTAATCTTCCTCCGACCGTCACTGTATTAAAACAGTAATTATCTGGTGTAAAGAGACGATTTCCATTTTTTGCTTCACCGGAGAATGTTATGTACCCATCGTGACAGGGAAAAGGCAAACTTATGGTGATCTCTTCTTCTTTTAAATCATTAATTATATTCTCCAGGACAGTCTCCAGGAGCTGTTTTTTTAATATGTAACATTAGATAAAATAAAATGACACTACAGAGAGCTGAAGTGAAACCAGAACTTCTGTTTTCTGGTCCAGAAGTAAAAATCACATTGACATTTAACAGAACAAATCCAGTCTAGCAAAACATAGCCGTATGTCTAACAATATGTCGTGTGGTTTACTCCATATGTCTAGATGAAGATGGAAGATAAAATGTGTTTATTTAAAGTGTTCCTGCAGTGACTTACAGCAGTATTGCACTAGAGACCCTCATGTGCCAGAAAAAGGTCAAAATAGAAACATAGATTGAGATCTCATATAAGTCGAGCTCCAAATACACTGGATACTACATTTCCCACAATGCCTCCAACATAATTTCTCCCTCCCTGGTAAACACTCACATTTTTCAAACTTCACACCTCCAGTTTATAACTTTATAAGCTTTGTGTAAAAAATTTTCCTCAAACTGAGCCACCTA